TAATTTTAACACAGATCACTGCAGTGATCCAATTGGGGATTTTTTGTGACAGTATATCATGAAACTATAACCTGAATTCTGGCCACAGTAACTGGCAATTGAACTTCACCTGTCCTTTGCTTGTGCAGGAATCCACACATTTGGGTGTTAACTCTGGAGCGTATGCTATTCTCAGAGCAGAGTTAATGATAGCCTTTCCACTGACTGTTTTAGAAGAAGTCTCCTGGACTGAAAACAGAATTTGAGAAGTTGTATTTTAAATCTCAGTCTGACCCTCTGCACAAAAGACAGGGAAGGCACAGTACCAAACACATAACGATAATGACCAGCTCGAGTGTTTGGAACTGTGCATTACATCTTCTGTTCACAAAGAGAATGAACACTCTCATGCATCCATGTGGACACCCTGGGTTCTCACACATGAGAACAGGTCATGCGCCAGCAGCAAGGTTATTGTTCAGATTTCAAGGATCGTTTTTCTGCTCCCAGTCATTCTGGTAGATCCTAACTGGCAAATTCTCTCAGCAGTATCAATGTACTGTGTTTCTTTCTTTGCTGATTGTACTACAAAATGTCATTAAATCAACATCTATAGAACACAACATCACAAAACACAAAAGACTCATCTTTCTGTTACACCAGAGGCTGAATGTAATGTGAAGAAAATGAGGTATTTGTTTCAAAGAAAGGAAAAAAGACTGTGTCATTTTTATTAGAAGCAGGCTTTTTCTGTGGGTTGCTAATGCAGGGTTACCTCCTGAAATTTGGGGTTGCTTCTGAATTACATCACTTGGAGACAGTTTTGGTTTTACATTTGTGTTTCTAGACTATTGCTAGGCTGCCTGGCCATTACACAAAACCACACTTTTGACTGGTGCTATTCTGTATAGTTAGAAAGTTTGTTAAGAAAAGTATTGACAACAGAAATAGCAGCTTGACATAGAGTAAGGAAGAGATGGATCTGCCATCATGAGAGATATCTCACTCAGCAGCAGCCCTCTGCACCTGCCTCTGTCAACTCCTTCCTCTCCATCTATCATTATCTGCATCATTAAATACATCCACAACATATAGATTAATATAACTGCAATTTACCAACTCAGTACACAACAGCCTCCTATATTCAGCCAGCTCCCCAGAAAGGAGATTGGACTTCTCTTTTGATAAAAGATCACGTTTACTTTGCTTGTGCAGAACAGTGGCTGCTATTAACCCACCCAGGCTTTCCGCATCTTCAGTTTATTATGTTTGTTATTATCTATTTCCACGTCTCTGTTACACATATGCCAGTAAGGATTCTTGCTGGAACAGTGTCCTCCACAGCTACTAGTGAATTAACCTATACCATACTAATATTTTAATTATATATTAATGTAACATGTCATATGATGTAGCATGTTCTATTATAGCTGTGAAGTACACAGACTTACAGACCTGTAGTAAGGCATTTTGATGGTGTAAGCTTTGTAACACCACAGCTGCAGGGAAACCCTGTAACAAAGCTGCTCTGCTTCTTGGCCTTCTCCCCCAAGAAGAGGAGCTGGGATCCTTGCTGCATCCCACACAAATGAATGATCTTTCTGCCTCACCTTTCCACCTGTAAAATTTGGGTAGTGAACATAGTTGTGAGTTATTTTGAGTGCAAGCAACAGTTACATCTCAGTGAGATTAACAGCTTTCATCTAATTTAAAATGCCATCAAAAATTATAATCATAGAATGTTTTATGTTGGTGGGGACCTCTAGAGGCCATCTTGCCTTCCTAAGGGAGGCAGGGCCCATTCTGAAGTTACATCATGTTGCTCAGGTCCTGTCACTTTTGAATATTTCCAAAGGTAGAGATTACACATCTCTGGGTACTTGTTCCCATGCCTGATTACCTTCACAGAGAAATTTTTTTTGTTCTTTCTGATCTTTCTTCATGCAGCCAATGCCCTTGGCCTCTCACCTTGCCACTGTGTATCACTGTCTTCTCCATAGCCTCTCATCATTAGTTAGACATCAGTTCATCCCCCCCTATGGGGATGAACAGTTCATTCCCTCCCCTAGGCTGAATAAACCCAGCTCTTCTTCTGTTGCAGTGACACTGGGACACGCCTATTTCAGGACAATAGAGCCCAGTACATGCTTAACTGCAGCAGTGAGTTCTCTGCCTGCTTGAGCTGCTACCATCCAAGTGAAGCAGCCTCCACATCCCATTTATCCCCTAGTCTTTCCAGTACCTCACCATGAACTCCACCACAGCTTAACCTCTCACTGATTTTGCCAGTGTAGCAGCTCATGTACTCATTTCTTAAACCAGCCTGGTGAAAATAAATCAGGAAGCTTTAGATTTACGTGGGAAAATGCTCAAGCAACCAGGTCATTTTGACGTGTCTTTGCTCAGAGGATGACTATGTAGGCAGCTGTGTAGCTGGGTGGAGGAGCCACTGTTGGCAAACAGGTGGGTTCATCCAGATCCGCTGGAAATCCTCACTCCCTTGCTGGTGCAGCTCCAACTGGATGTGTGACACAGCATCAGCTACTTGAGTGTACCACCCATAATCTCAGGTTCCTACGCTTAATATAGTTCTCCTGCTGCTTTGGCAAATCTGTCCAAGACTTCAGCAGAGCAGTACTTGTTGACAATAACATTTACACAGCTGTATGAACTTTCCGCATATACTGCTCCTACTTCCCAGGCAAAATGCTATAAGGATCAATAAGAAGAAAAATGCAGCACCATGAGGACTTGATTAAAGCACCCATGTGTGTTGCATTCAACCAGAGAAAACAAAATAAGCAAAAGTCTTTTCTAATCCTTAAAGGTTAAGAAGCTTAAGCCAGTCTTGCAAAGATGTCTTGTCATACCAGCCTACACTGAAAAGCCAGAGTAGAATAGAATGGAATGAAATGGAGCAGAACTAAACGGCTTCAGTTAAAAGGGACCTACAACAATCATCTAGTGCAACTGCCTGACCACTTCAGGGCTGACCAACAGCAACTTCTACAAGGAGGATGGAGCAAGGAGATGGCTGGTGTCTTCTCCCAGGTAACAAGTGATAGGACAAGAGGAAACAACCTCAAGCTGTACCAAGGGAAGTTTAGATGGGATATAAGGAAAAAAATCACTACCAAAAGGTTGGTCAGGCATTGGAACAGGCTGCCCAGGGAACTCCTGGAATCACCTGGAAGTGTTCAGAACCCATGTAGATGAGCCCCTCAGTGACATGGTTTAGTGGTGGCCTTGGCAGTGCTGGGGTAATGGTTAGACTTGGTGATCTTAAAGGTCTTTTCCAACCAAGTTGATTCTGTGATTCTATGAACATTTAAATCATGTTGCAAAGGGCATTGGACAAATGTCTCTTAAACACTGACAGTTTTGGGGCATCGACCTCCCTTGGCAGCCTGTTCCTGTGTTTGACCACCCTCTCAGTGAATAAATCCTTCCTAATGTCCAGTCCAAACCTCCCCTGGTTCAGCTTTGAACCTGTCTGAAATATATTCTCCTGTGCTGGTGCAGTGTGTGCCTATGGCAGTCAGAGGGAGTGACAGTACTATGGAGGAAAGTCAGGCTTATGTTGGGGTCCTCACTACCACACTGCAGGTTTTCAAAAGTGCAATACACACGGTTTTGGGTCTTGTTCATGCCCATCCATTTTCAAATTGATGCAGTTAAACCAGTGCAAGTTCTTACATGTACACTTATTGTGCCCTGACTTCTGTCAGAACAGTCAGAACTAAATGCAGGTTTGCAGATTATACACACCCACTTCAAAATCTGTCCATCTCTCTCTGGCTGGGCTCACAAAACTACGTTTCCACTAATCAGCAGCTGAGCACAAGGCAGGAGAGAGGATTCAGTAATATAGCCTGGGAAGTCCAGCTGCTTTAGGGTTTTTAGCCACTTTGTGTTTGCACAGAGGTGGCAGCGAAGTGGCGAAAACAGAGCAGCCGTGCTCTCAGTGCAGGAGCAGAGCAGGGCTGGGTCCTCCCGTGCTCCCCTCCTGCCAGCACATTTTCATCAGAGGTCAGACACAGAGCATGCCAAAATCCACACAGATAACAAACTTCCAGCGAGGCCGTGACAACACTGCCATTCCCACCAAGGAGAGGGCCAGTGCTCAGACACAATCCTCAGCAAAAGCTCAGTGCAACCCACAGAGTCTGCTCTCAAGGTGTTCTTGCACTGGGCTGTACCTAGTGCTACTTGTATTAACTCCTAACAGCTCTGGTGACAGTCATAGCAAGAGACACCAAAGGAAGCCTTCTGTACTTGAAAGGTTTCCCCCAAGCCATATTTTGTGTTGCAGGCAAACCAAACTAGCCATAGAACACCTTAATTGAAGGTCTCCCCATCTTCACCAAAATGCTTTCTGCCTTTTCTCCAGTCTGTTGTGTCAGGACATTCCTCTCTTCTACCATGCTCTGCTCTACGCTCTCTAGACGGGAAGTAAGATCTTCATTCTCCCATCACCTCTTTCATGCCTTAAGCCAAATGTCCTCACCTTACTAAGTCAGACTTCTGATTGTCTTCCCATGAAAAGGATTTGGAGGGTAATTTCTCATTAGTAAGAAAATCACAATTCTTATTAAGAAGTCCTTGCTAATGAGAGAACTGCCAAACACTAGACTAATTTATACAGTACTTTTTCTCAGCAGTACCTGTACTCTGAATTTCTGATGTTCAACAATTATCTATCTGAAGCACTAGTACAAATCTTCTTAGGGCATAAACAGGCATACCACCATTTCAACGGACTTCAGGAGACAGAGGACAGCTAAAAAACCCCAGCTTGGCTTCCCTGCTCCCTTGAAGCTATTCTTTTATCATTTATTCGTGTCACAGATAGGTAGCTCCTGAAAGCTCCTTCTATTAGAATCTTCCTCAAGAGCAGAAAGATGGCTGGGTGATCCTGCTGCACCCGCTGTGTAGCTGCTCTACCTCCATAGGCATAATGCCTTGCACTAAGCAGTCACATCACAATGGTAACAGTATGTCCCCAGCATTCTCCAGAAAATGAGTAATGAAGCAAGGACCCTCATGACACATCTATGTAGTACAAGAAGTTTGAGCAAACTCATGATTCTTGATGTTCCCCTGAGCAATAGGTATGCCACTGACACGCAGCAGCAGGGGCATTCTTTTTCCCCTTCCTTTTCCATGCAAAACTTTAAAGACAAATAGCCCTCAGAAGCAGGTCACAAGCATATTATAGATGAGGGAGGCAGAACACAGAGGCAAAATAGTTCAGCTCAGTCATACCCACAGTGGCCTTCTCCAGGATTGGCTTCAGCCTCTCCACATTGCATCTCTTACCTGCAAAGCATTGAGGTGCAGAGCTAGTGTTGTGGCTTAAGCCCGGTAACTCAGAACCACGCAGCTGCTCGATCACTCCCCACCCTTCTTCTTCCCCACACTTCCAGAGGAATGGGGAGGAGAATCAGAAGAATGTAACTCCCATGGGTTGAGATAAGGGCAGTCCAGTAACTAAGGTATAACACAAATCACTGCTGCTACCACCAATAATAATAATGATAAGGGAAATAACAAGGGAAGAGAATACAGCTGCTCACCACCTGCCGACTGATACCCAGCCTGACCCAAGCAGTGATTTAGCCCTTCCGGGTAACTGTCCCCAGTTTATATACTGGGCATGACACGCTGTGATATGGAATACCTCTGGTTAGTTTGGGTCAGGTGTCCTGTCTCTGCTTCCTCCTGACTTCCCCTCCTCCCTGGCAGAGCATGAGGCTCAGAAAGTCCTTGGTCAGACTAAACATCACTAAGCAGCAACTGAAAACATCGGTGTTATCAGCGTTGTTCTCAGGCTGAAAGTCAAAACCACACCACTGCACCAGCTACTAAGAAGGAGAAAAATGACTGCTACTGCTGAACCCAGGACAGCCAGCTTAGTGGGTCTGGAAGGAGCCAGGTCCATATTCCCCTGACTGTGAGCACCCCTTCAGCCACAACATGAGTGACAGGGAAGAGGTGAAGAAGCAGAATAGGGACTTCCAGCCAGAGCTACAGGAAGTTAAATTCAGCAAGTTACAAACACTGACAAATTTTTAAGTGAGGACTGCATACAAAAACACCAGGAAAAACTGTCATAGAACTTTTGTCATGAAATGCCCCTTGCTCTGCACTTAACTTGTACTCCAACCAGCCTGGCTGCCATACGGCCTTCAGCAGTGAATTACAGCTTACATAGTATTTTGCTACCAACCAGTTGGTTCCCATGTCCTCCAGAGCTCTACGCCAAGGTCTGTAGCCTGCTCCCTTTCCCTCATTGGCCCAGCCAGCCAACCTAGAGCTGACTGCACTGAGTGGAAACGCTGCCCCATGGCAAGGAAAGACTCCCATGTAGTTCAATATATTCTTTGGCAGAAGAATGAGATTAAAAAGCAAGCTAAATTACTATTTGTGTAACTGGAGTATCCTGGTTACAGAGCTTGTAACCGTAACAACCATTTAAACAAAGCTTTAAAGAAAACATTTCCTCATTATTAAAATGTTCACCCTCAATTCTGATTCAGTTTCTTGATCTTCCTCTCGTCTCTGATCTCAGAGCACATCTGCCTCCAAGTCTTATAGAAGACGTAGGAAAGGAAGAGCTGTTCTCAGAACCACTGAGTAACCTCAACTAGTTTTTGTGTCCTGTGCCAACAGAATGATGCTTCCTAAACACACGAATACAAAAAGGATCAGTTTGTCATGTGGGGATTTAGAGGCCTGTGAACATTATACAAGTAATCAGCTAGCAGGGATGTTTCTCAGAACAAGTCCCAAGCAATTAAACTGAGCCTGCTATTAATCACATGCCAAACACAAGGTATTAGTTAGGTTGGAGCCAAACTCACTTAAAAGCTCAGGCACTGAAGAAAAGTCAGAAGTAGTTGGCAATTTAGTTTATTACTTAAGTCTCCCCAATTTTATGGCTGGATTACCTTCTATCTCCAAAGAATCCATTCCACAGTTACGACTGTTGTGTTAGTAAGAGTCATGCAGGCATCACACAAAGGCAGCATTGATTTGTTATTCTGTAACTGGATAACCAGGTTTTTATTTTGAAAAGATCCTGCTGGAGCTTTTTATTTTTTTCAACTGCTTGTTAAATGAGAGTGTAGCCAGGAAAATGGGACACAGCAGCAGCAAGATGGATGTGATCCATGCACATGTTTTTCTCACAAGAAAACAAGTGCACTGCATGTTTAACAAAAGGGAACAGCTTCAGGGTTACATTAGATAATGGAGCCAGATGTAAACTCTTGAATACACAGCACTCCAGCAGGTGCCTTCCTAAGAGCAAACCTTTCTTTTCATAGGAGGAAGGGGCAAATTTCTCCTTGGAACATGGCTTGAGAGTTACTCCTCGATGCTGCTACGGCTGAGAGCTATACCAGCTGTAGTTTCTCTGCACATCCCATTGATGTTGGTTGGCCATCCCTGAATGAAAAGCGAATGTGCAGGAAACCCAGTGACTAATACACATATTTAATGCCAAAAAATTCTAACGTATCAAGTCAATGACAAAGCACAGCAGCTGCGGCTGTTTTGGAAAGCAAGTTTTGTTTTCTACGGCCAGGTTTTACTAGCATCAGAATGAACAGAAGCTGTTTCTCAGAATTCTGTAAGAATAGAAATCAAATATGAATATAGCTGTGTGAAACCTGGACATGTATTTTTAGGTGCACACACCCACACACATATGGCAGCCTGAATAGCTCATTCACTTCCTCTGATACAATCAGGGATGCCTCCAGCAGGAACATGAGCCCAAGCATGCTCCTACCCCAATTTGCCTGTGCCACCCCTACTTAACTACATACACTATCATGTAACAGCTTGAAAAGCTTTTTTTTTCAGTAACTTTTTCTTTCCTCCACATTCCCAGAATGCTACTCAGCTTCTTTTAGCAACACAGTAATTACCGCAGCAGATCAAACCTGAAGCTTCGCACTTTAATGCTCACTACCAAAAGTGGTAACGACTGCAGTAATTAAACTAGGGGAACAGTCTCCATTAATTTTCATTTAGTTTTTCCACATAGGCTTAAACCATGACCTAAGATCCCTTCAGCAAAATACCGATATGGAATCACTTGCAATTACTTGATGGCAACTTATTTATATTTTCACCTTGCAAACAGATCTTTAAGAGGCAGCTAGCTATCCAAAGTGCTTTTCATAATTAACACAACATACAGTTTTTCAGCTTCAAGGTTATTCAAGCCAGCTACAAAATCTGCTTCCAAAATTAGACCTGGACAACTACGGCTGGCTCTTTAGTGTTTCCAATCCCCAAATCACACTTCTCTCTCAAGCTGTGGCCCTCCTTCCCCTGTGGCAGTATTTGCTTTATCTAAGTCCAGATTGCCTTGATCATTTACATCCTTCCTGAACTTCTCTGTGGTAATACGCAAGGGCTGAAAATTCATGCTGTAAGCATATGGAGCAAGGTTTGCTGAAATGTATGATTAGATGGTTAGTTGAACTGCTGAAAACCTTATGCAGGAAGCAAGGATCTGAGGCTCCTTCCCTTGCAACAGAGTTTCAGAGGTGAAGTGTTCAGCTGTAACGTAGAAAACCTTTTACCTTGTGCTGCCGTCTTGTGTTACCCCCTAGAGAAGCCCTTCTGATATTTCTCAGGCACAGGAGGGCATATTTCCATTAACAGGCTCAACCAGAAGTGAAGGATTCAACGCTCTGTCATCTATTCATCCCCACAGCCAATGGCCGGTGCAGCACACAGGTATTCCTGAATCAGCTCCTAAAAGGCATACTACACTACAGGGAGAGCATTTCTATGTCAACAAAGTGAACAAGATTTCTGTTTTGCAAGGGTACACAACACCTCCCTCTATCCCTTTTAGTACAGTACGACATCAAAAATTCATTTTAATTGACACTGAAAATCTGTCTTCTCTGTGCCCTTTAATACTTAGGGCAACTAGAGTAAGTTTCTCTATAAAGAGCAGGAGTAATAAATAGTCAAGAGAAGAAGGGGGAAAGAAGAACCCACACTGTTAGCTGTCTGGTATTTATTACTTTTTAATACAGAGAAGTCACAACAAAATATTCTCTAACAACACACGCAAATGATATAATAACCAATTATTTTAATTTCATCAACATTCATTTGCTATGTACATATTCTCCCACCTGCAAAAGTGCAAAGAATGTCTCAACAAGAAACCTTTATGGACAAGTATATTTGTGAGGGGTTTTCTCACCAGTGACCTTACAACATGTTTGTTCTCAGTTACCTAGTACAGCAAAATGAAGAGTACATGGGAAAGAACAAAGAAAAAAAGGAAAAAAAAAAAAAAAAGGAGAAAAAGAGAAAAGAAACTGGACTAGATGCCTCCCTTGTAGGAATAGTCCCTGTTTTCCCAACTAAATTCATAAGGAATACAATGCTTACTACTGGAGATGTCAATGGAAATAGACTATAGGATAGTCTATGGGCTAGCTATAGAATACTGTAGTTCTAATGACTCTGCAGCATTAGGCAGAACAAGAATTTCAGGCTGTTCAGTTTGGTAGATGTCAAATTACACATGAGCATGTGAAAGATGTCCATCATGTTAGTTATGGTTACCAAAATTTAATTTTAAACACCCCACTGATGGATTAATTCATTTTTATACATCCAAAACATGAAGTCTATCTAAATGCAAGCCTCTCCTATGGAAAACAGTTAACTACTGGAAAGAAAAGCATTTGCACATGCAACTCCTATTACTATCTCAAGGAGCATCGTGCACTAATGAAGAGTAGAATGAACCTCCAAATCCAGAGGACTGTATTCTCTTTTACAAACCGTATTTCAGGCGCAATTTAATCTGATCACAGGCCAGATTAAAAAAACCTACACAGTATCAGAAAAATGAAAGGTAATGAAGAATAAACTTTAGCCAAATAAGCTAAGCAAGGAGCCAGGGAAATCATTTCCCTTTTGACACATTTAAAAGATCATGACAACTTCCAGTGCTCATCAAGGCAGAAAGCAAATCAACTGCAGTCTAGTTTAAACTCAGAAGTAGCTATTAGGTCCCAAAAAAGTTACCTTTGCCTTTCCACTTATGCAAAGCCCAGCTGAAGCTCTCATGGCCAAAGGGTGGGCCTGACTGCTTCACTGACATCTGATGCATGTTATGGAAAATACTGCATTTTGCAGTAACCGAAGACCAGTTTTCAGTACCAGCAAAAAGCAGGGAAAGCATTCTCTACAATTTACTTTAGAGTGAAAGCTCAGAGGAATCTTTCCATAGCTCAGCTGGTTTCCATCGAGGATAATTTTTACAGTGCTATGAGTGCTGCTAGCCTCCAGTGGAGAGATGTGTTTTGGAAGAAAACAGGCATTTCCTCCAGTGGTAGACAAGATTCAGTGAACAGCAGAATTAAAAGGAAAAGCTGATGGAGAACCAAATGGTTTTCTTGGATGAATTTGTACATAAGTCCTTGTCACTGTTAAGACTTTAAATATGCTTACCCCTTCCCATTTTCTCACTCTGCTGCGTTCTTTGCTTTGACCTGAATATCCTGTGCAACCTTGCACACAATTGTGTTTTTAAAGCTAGCCAAATTCCTTTTTTCCATGTCTACTCATTCTCGATTGTCACACACACGTCTGGAGAGGCATCTAAGTACTTAAAAAACAGAATGATAAATTAAGCTACTCTAAGGAAACCAAATAAACAAGTATTTAGAAAGACTCCAGATGCCACATCTCCCCTACTGCGTGCATTGTACCATGGCACCTCCCCTCTTCAAGTGCATAAAAAGTGGATACAGAGCACCATGTAGCCCATGTGGGAATTAACACCCTAGACTCACAGCATGAGTGACTGGCACTCAAGAACAAACACTACAGTAACAGATGTATCCTTTAGTTTTTCTCATTACAGAAGCTGTCTTTGCTGTGTGATTTCAGACTGCTCGAACAGTCTACCCATTGTCCATTTGGTCTGGTTCTCATGGTACTGCCAGGCAACACGACTCCAAACCTTATTAGCCACCCTAACTCCATCAGGTTGCTCAATGCACCAAAGCTAAAGGGCTCATCCTCCTCAAGCAGTTAATTCAAATTATGGTTGTTCTCCATATGGGAAATCTGACTGCACAGCTAACTAGGCTGTGTAACTGTACAAGACAGACAGTCCAGACGAGAATACCATTAACATCTGCTGGCTGGCTTCTAAGGACATTACCACTCAAGTTAGCAGTAAGTCATCTGTACTAACATAAGCCCTCTGTGCAGCTTGAGTATTACTAGAAGAGTGGCTAACACTAGAAGGAGCTAATTCTGCAGTGAAGACTCCAGGAAATAAAACTGTGAACTTGGCATTTTTATGCACAAAGAAACATGGATATTCAGTTCTAGTTTTATAAGCACATCAATTTCTTAACTTAGCAGAAAACATAATTCTCAGACCAGCATATGAAGCACTTGTTTGGCATCTGACTTTTTTGTTTTCTTTCCCAGGGTTGGCAGAGTATTAGGGCCATTTTCAGGATCATGATTTCAACAGATACACTCTTTTAAAAGATTTGTATTTGGAAAAAAACAAAATAACTTCAGAAGGAACAAAAAATCCTACCTTGTAAATAGAAACAAACCCCACACCTCTCAAGTGGACAAACGCTCCATAAACACACTACGGAGAAAAGCAAAAAAAACCCCAACTCTCCTGTAAATCTCAATAGCCTCGAGAAACCAAGCAAAAGATTGATGACCTATTTTAAAAATTTTATTTAAGGAAGGAAGAAATGGGAACCAAGAAACAACAACTGCAGTCTACAACAACCGCAGAGTCTACAGAGCCAAGCCCTCTGATACAAATTCACTGACTAATGCATAGTCTATTTCATACAGCACACAGGCATATAGACAGTAATATGCCAAGTCTGCATAGTCTCCGAGTTTTTACATCCTGGACTTAATGCCATTTTGGAAGACAAAGGTGCAGAAACTAATTGTTATAAAAAGCGATGCTGTATTTTGTATTCAGTACCTCTCAGCTCTTGCGGGTCTGACAGCCCAGATCCTGCTTCATGGTCCTTCCACACCAGCCACAGCAGTCTGCAGTAGGCAGCAAAGCCCCAGCCCCAGCAGACACATACAAACACATCCCCATTCGGCTCAGCCTGTTCCCCCCAAAAAATGGCTGTGAAGAAACACCTTTAAATAAAGCATTTTAAGACCTCCAGCTTGTTTTGGTATGGACAGATGAGCTGGCTGGACACAATGACAGCCCCAGTGGAAGCAGCACTATTGCCCTACGGTCCATCAGTGAAGGCAACACACACCAAATGCATACAGCAGGAAGACACTATGCCAAAAAAATAATTCATTTCAATATTGCATTTTCTGGCATACATTTACATTCACTTGTCACGATACCTTAGTTTACTCCATCTCAGGAAATCTGAAAGCAAGCCTGCTCAGGCAACTGGCAGCACAGGGCCAGCTCCTGTGCCCGTGGGAACCGATGAAAAGGCTGAAGGAATTCAACAGTAACAGGATGGTTTCTTTCCAGGGATTTCCCATTTCCACCAAGCTGGAGGGACAACAGCCCCTACACAATTACCCACTTTCCAACAGGACATATTTCTCTGTCCTGTATGTCTCCCCATACCCTTTCTATAAACTGTATTACAATTATACAAAAAAATAAACCCAAATCATTTTTAGCTGAACTTTACCCCCCACTCAGGATATATTCAAAGGCCATTAAATTGGCTTGCCTCCAACCTTCACAGAGATCTTGTCAGGAGGATTCTGGTTTTAACAACATGTATATATACATATTAATATGTACACAAAGAAGCTGCTCTTTCAGTTAGAAAAAAAATTAAATTTCATCACAGAATGAATCCTATAAAAAGATATGTAATAAAGTTGAAATACCCATAAAATAGCTATCACTAAAGCAAAGCTTTCGTCAATAAGCCTCCAAAACTTTAAATGAAGAAAATGGCTTCACGAAGTGGTAGTCTAGATTTCCACAGTGGGGACACTGCTGGACGTTGCTGTATTCAGAGAAATACTGCATGCCAATCCGTACGTCTATTACTGGCTTCCCACAGTGCTTACAGTTCAGTCGAGCCTGTAAAAACACAAAGAAACAAAAAAATCCCTTTTGAAATAACCATACTCACCACTGAAAACAAGGGCATCACACACAGTCCCTGCCCAGCCCTCCCTGGCAGGACAAGGGGTAAGTCAGAAAACCAGCAACAACAGGATCTGATGGTAAAGACATTCCTCACCAGGACTGGTAACTTGCAGGCATACACACTTTCCACATGAAATACTATCACTGAATTCTGGAGAGTAGGTTACCTCCCACTCTGACTGATGGGAGGCAGTGAATTTCAAAGTTTATTTATGTAAATGATTGTTTTGTGTTGCTTAATCTCTGAGAGAATTCCTCAATCCCCAGCACAAGAAGTGCTGTCTCAGTAAATCATTAATGAAGCCCCGAAGCGAAGAGAGAAGTTTTACATTTGTGCCATGCAATTCAACTGTTTAGGCTGATGTTTGAACATGATCTATGAAATAAATCAGCATTTTAATCTTTTGTCTTAACAAATCTATAGCTCGATCTACTTTATCAGCACGGCATGGTTTTGTATCACTTTAAGTATCTATTTAAACATTTATAATACATATCAGGTTATACAAACTAAACATCACTTCAAGGACACAAAGTATTCTATAAAATCCAACATCAACTGGGTGGATATGAGAAATAATTAAAGGTCAAGGGTGAGGACAGACAGAGCTATTAATGTTCAGAAGTAACGAAAAAAGTAAGCCTTCAGAAGAAACCTAGCTGAGAAACCTAGCCCAGCTGATGTAAAGAAAGCAACAGGCGGTGTGAAAGCTCAGCAGGCCATTTGAAATACGCACAAGAAGCAGAAGGGATTTGAGATTATAAAGGAGTTTAAGAGTAAAGGTAGCAGATGATCAGTGGGGGCCTGAGCTGCGCCATAGCTTAAACTCACTTAAAGCCCAATACACTAATGAAAGCTTCAGCTCTTCACTGCAAAGAACAAAAAAACATTTTCTATGGCAATCTTGATTTAAGGAATTTTCCTGGGATGAGAAGAAGAAATTATTAAAGTACTATTACCACTGAGACAAGACTCAAAAAGAAACAAACCACCAGCTCCACAACCAGCTGCTCTGCTTGAAAAGCAGGAATTTCAAGAAATACAATCTAGTACGGTATGAATTTGTAGGAATTTTTTTTCAGTAAAATGTTGCTTTCCCTCTTGCTACTATCCAGCACATCAACAAGGTGCTAGTAATCTGACAGTGGCTGCAACTCATTATCCTACATGCCCTTTTGTAATGTGTGATTAAATACTTTGAAATAAGGTATGCAACTATACAAAATAAAATTACCAGGACAATAAATCATATACCATATTTAAATGTCATTCCTCTGTATGCACAGAATCATCTGTACCAATCATGGTGAAACATTAATGCATGCTATCTGGCAATCACAGTCACTGCAGCTAATGATTTCATAGTCAGTTCTATTACTTACCATGTACTGTCACACTACCCATTAATCATATAATTAAGGCTCTCGTATAATGAGACCTTAATTCTTGTCTTGTACATTCAACAGAAGCAATTCACATTTAAATTTGCTGGCTTTTACAGAGCTAGCATATCAGCATCAGTGGTTTATCTTTAGAAATGCCTATTTTTTAAAGAAGGTTACAGTCAGTCTCAAGAGGCACTAAATTTGGAGGCAATATCTCTGTCTTTAGTTATAATCGTTGTCAATGTCATTTTAACCAGTAGCAGCAATACCACTTGTCTTTTGAGCAACACATTTTGTTAAGTATGTTGAAAGTAAAGTAAAATGGCATTTCACATACTGACAAAATGGTATTTTAGATTGCTCTGAAGCACACACATTACCATGAAGTGATCACACTTTGAGTGAGTGTGACTTTGCAAGGCTCTTGTCCTAAGTCAGTAACAACACCAGAAGCAACAGCCCTCTCCTGAGCATCTCAGTGGACCACTGAGCTATTCCCAGACAAATGCTTTTTCCGTGGCTGTCTACCCCTACTTGCACAACAGAGTGCTCTGCCCATCACATGACCAATTTTCTTGGATGCTGATGATCCTGCTCCCTCAGGCAGATGTCTACTCTGCAGTAAGCCCAGGCTTTGGATCTTTCTCACCCAAGGTATAGATTCAGTGAGCATTTAATGAAAAATAAGCTGCTGCAGGCTGTGCCAGAGTACCATCACGAGAGTCAGCCATGGCTAAGATTAAGCAGAGCTGGGTAGTCTCTAAGCACAAAGACACTTTAGACCTTTCCAATCCATTGGCTTTTTTTTGCTACAATTATGGTAAAACACAATTCAACCAACTAAAAGAAACCTGCATACATGAAACACCTGCTGGAAATGTGCAACTGTGATTACAATTGTTACTACTGGAATTATACCAGATACTGAACATACTTGCTAGTGATAATCCTAAGCATCAGATTTAATTGTTAGTACACTTAAAGGGGCTTTATTTAAAAATGTAACTACTGATCACTGGCCTTTGTCTAGCTATAGGCCACTGGGCCTCATAAGTTAAGACAAAGGCATAGGGACTTGGTCAGCTGTCTTGTATTGCACTCACAGGTACACGCTGGAAAAGAAGGATGGAAGAAGAGAAAGGAAAAGAGATATATAAATCTTGGCTTTACTTACCATCAGTTGGAATTTCCCCTTATGAGTCTCATTTACATACAGTACTAACCTGACAACAGGGAGATGCTGCCAGAATATCGTAGGTATACATAGTTCCCAGCTGATGCCAGCTTCCATCCCATCGAGACTTGCACTTAATGCAGATAATTTTGTGAACCCCTTCTAAGCAGTCTACGCAAACAGCATAAAGGTGCATAAGCCTTCCTGCGGACAGGAAAGACACTTCTTAAGGAGACCAGAACAGAAGATCAAAACAGACATTTCCTGCAATGTGTTATCTGCCCAATAGTGATACAGATCATACCTTATTAATTTTTATTTTTAAGGATAAATGATAAAGTAAAAAATGTTTCTCTATGGGAAATGCATAGGGCTTGACTGAAGCTATCTTCTGTGTATGTAAAACTCAGGAATTAGTCATCACCCTGACCACCCTCCCTTCCCCCATTTGCTGATACAGCTTAGCAATATATTTTATAAAAGAAGTTGCTGAAACTCCATGTACAGATGCCAGGTTAAGCTACATAATCAGCTGCAGTGTTTCCAAAACCAGGATTGTGCCTAGCTTCATCTCCACCTGACAGAAAGAGTGGAGAAGTGTTGAAGCTTATTAGCAAGCTGGGTACAGATTCATTTAACAACTTGACAACATCTTCCAGCAAAGATGGAATTAAGGACCTGATATTCCTCCTGGAAAAAAGCAACAGCAAGAAGAGCAATTTTCTTTCATGTACTTTTTTTCTGACCATTAAGTATATTTTAAAACATTATATGTATTTCACATACACAAACTTCAACATGCCATTCAGAACTACGAATCTATTGAGCCCTATCACGACCTTAGGCTTGTATGCGCAGTCACTTTCAAAACCTGAGTTATACTGACTTCCATAAAAATCAAGTGGCTCAGACTTGAAAATGAAGCATTTTCTCTACATAAATCTGACTAAACTCACCGATGCAAAATCCAAGATACAAATTTCACACAAAACAAGAAGTCCTGCATAAATTACAGAGATCTGTCACCTACATTATGCATCATTTGTAGTGACTGAATTCATTTCTTATTTACTAGTTGGCTATTAGAAGTGGGTTGTCACAGAGTAGTAATCTGTAATATACCATATTTTGTACTGCTACGTAAGAAAAGCTAAGAAGTGCAGTTACAGAGCTACAAAACAAGACTTATTACTTGCATGTAATATGTGTTTACTTCGGATTGCGATTTGTGCTCTTCAGCAAAGTACTGATCACAATCTGTAATTTAATGAACACACACATCTTGTACCTCTTCTAGATAAAAGGGAATGAAATATTGACAATTTATGATAAGTCCATACCATACACTTTCAAAATTAATAGTTTGAGTTTAAAATGTTTTGGTTTTTCAGCCAGTTATTTTAGAAAAATCAGAAGTAAAAACCAGATTCTTCCTAAAATATATATACAAAATAAACTTGCTAGTATGAGCTGGCAAAAGTTGAGCTATTCCTCACTGGTGTGTTCAGCTCTAGAAAACGTGAGACTGAAGTGAGATTGGAAACATTCAAATAATTTCAAGCACAGAAGACTTGTGTTGTGCAGGAAGATAAAATAATATTCCCCATCTGAAGTTCTGCACTGTTCCTGCAAGTTAAAATACTGTATTCCCCCACTGTTTAAATTCTTTTGTATGTAGGAAATGAGGCACATGATATCTTAAACATGCCTGAAATAAAAGAAGTGATTTTGCATACACCCTGGAACCGCACCTTAAAAGCTTAATTTCATTTCAAAGAGTACTCGTGATAATAAACCATTTTACCCAGGATAAGGAGGTAAAAATTTTAACAATTAATTATTCACAGCATCTTGTCTGATCGAGTTTCTCAGATGTATCAGACAATGGGTAAGGAGCAATTAATTAAAAGACATATTTTTGCAGAGTTTCATTCTTAGTGGGAAATGTTGAAGAGTGATGAGTTTCTCTATTGCTAGACCAGCTCTTAGTACTGATGAAATCACAAGCCCATTGTGCATGCCTCCCCATGAAAGCAAAAAAGCATTGTTATCTCACACACATACATTCTGTTTATCCTGGAGCTTTTTTGAGCTTGTATATTTGCCTATCACTTCTTCTTCTTGAAGTACATTAGGCAATGCAGAAACAATAACGTTAGCATGAATACAGTTCAGTGACACAGTGCGTAATGATTTAAGGAAAGAAATAAAACAACAGTTTGTTGAGCAAAGGAATGTTGCATAACATGTAGTATGACCATGCATACGATATAATAAATTCATTGAAACGAGAGAAACTGAAATGTTAAAATACCTCTTGTTAGTGCCTTCCCAACACCCTTTTTGACATACAATTTTATGTTTTTGAACACCCAACTATGAATCCTTTAACTGACTTGACCCATGCTGGCTACCCGCAGGATGAGGGACAGGCATGTTTTGCCACATACCACCCTGATCATTTAGTTTGGGGCACAGCTTTCAGGAAGAGATGATATGCATCCTAGCCCACATCCTTTTGTTCCTCTAGGAGGAGAAAAGTAGTACATTCCTTGGTCTCAACTCAGCTCGGAGCTGGGGCATGATCAGAATGCAATCCAAACAGGCAGAAAGTAAGTCTAAACTCCTCACTACGCCTTTGCTCCTTCAACCCACCATATTAAAAGCTTACTTTTACTATGTCTAGCCTCTCCAGGCCAGTGTTAACACAGGCCAGACTACAGTCCTTTCCATATTAAAAAAACCAAAACAGTTTGCTATAAAACAGAACTGACATTCTCCAGTCTGAAAGCAGATGAGAGGCATCTCACCTCACCAGTGGCACAAATATAACCTTCACCCACACTGCAGCACAGCATGCTTAAATAGAAAAGGTTGTTTAAAAGGTTGATGCATATCTTGGAGTAAAGCTCACAACAGATAAAACAGAACACACATGCTGCAGAACAGATTGGCTGGGAAACCTTCCCACGATCTACCTAGAATCCAGATGAGAAACATTTTAGTTGTAAACTGAAACACAGGGCATGGATCTTTCTATACAGCATTTGCTTTTGGTAATTCCTCCCAAGTGTTTCAATCTGATCCACGTGATTAATTTGGATGTGACTTCAGGCTCTACAGAACTGTTTAAAAATGCAGAACTGGGATGAAAACCTACAATGGGGAGTACAGGGCACAGAAGGCAGTTCCATCATTTAGTGAAACCTAGCATGACTGACAGACAACCTGTACCTTGAAGGTGACAGGGAACATCATATTCAATCTCATCATGTCTCGATGGGCTAAGGAACAGGGTCCCGTCCACCAGCGGAAACTGTTCAAACACTGGCAGCGCCCTGTGGCATAGAGCACAGTTTACAACGTTCCTGTGGCTGGCACTAAGAGCAGCAAGGATGAACTTCCGAAGGTCCTCCCCTTGGCCCACCTGGGCATCATCTTCCATCCGCACATGAAAGGTATTCAATTTATGCCTGGGGATGTGAGTAAGCAGCTCAGACAGATCGAGCCTTCTCAGAAACTGCACAGGGGCATCGAAGTGTCCTGACCTATGTGCTTGCAAGCCAGCTGCCCCATAATCAAAATGCGTGTTCCTGAACATGCCCCCACCGGCCATGTTCTTCTTATGGGGCTCCAGGTGAATGGCATTCTTCAGAAACTCTCCTAGGTATCGGGAGGAACGAGGGACGCTGAAATGTGTGGGGGCAAGAATAGAGTAGCCAGTGGGTGGGGACTGGCCAGGAGAGACACAAGGTGAACGGATGGCGTAGCTGCCGCTCATGACACCCTTCTCCTGGGAGTTCTGCCGGTCCATCGAGTGCCTTCGCTGGATGTCATTACTCAAGCCTTTCTGCGGCTTGTTGGCTGGCCTGCCCTTTTTGGCCTCCTCTGCTGACTCCGCCATTGACCTTCCCATATTCTTCTCCAACACGGACTTTTTCTTCTTATCATCCTGCATTCGCTTCACTTGGTACCAGTCAGTGTCCTTCTTTAAATGACCCTGCCCACACCGACAGGAGCAAAAGCGAAAAGCTAGGTCATAGCCCTTCTTTGTCCACATGTTTTGGCGACACTGCTTTTCATTCCAGCTCCTGGCTCTGCCAATGCAATTGAACTGGACAAGGATACTGCTTTCCCACTCATAGAAGCACTGAAGGTGCATCCAGGTGCTGTATGGACAATGCTCGTTGTTGCATATAACCTTCTGGTAGTCATCCTTCTCCAGGTCCACCGGCCTTCCAAAGCTACAGATCAGTGGAGTAGCACAGGGAGCTTCTGTGGAAGATAAAACAGAAGCATTAATAACATAATAGCCCACTTATTGCAGTACTTTCTCAAACACTGTGCTAAACATGCATGTGAGCTCTTACTCGTGACCTGTATTATCAAAGAGCCCACAGGCACTAGCTGTGGGTTAGGGCAAAAAGCAGTCTTTGCCAGAAAAAGTTAAGTACGTGAAGAGATATGGAAATGAGGGAATAAAGAAACAAAATGACATTACATCTTGTTTAATACTCAAAGCACCTCAGAAGCATTAGTCTTCCTCAAAGGTTTGTGGATACTGTTGCAAGGCCTTAAGAAGTGAGGAGAAAGCTTTGCGTATGTTTCTGGAAGGTTGCTTTGAAGCCTGAGAGGCAGCATGGGGAGAACACACAGATGTTTGTTTGAAAAACAAGGAGGCAATACAGCCTAGCTTTGCAATCACACGGAGAGGCAGGAACTGATCTTTTCTTTGGGACTGAGCAAGAGACAATAGCTACGGAGAGAAGGAGGAAGCAGAGGATTTTGAAAAGCAAGACAAACAGCTTATGTTTCTAGTACAGAAAGGAGGGCCTTTGTTACATTGCTTAGGCAACTATAGACTATACTACCATCACTGACCTCCTGGATAGCTAAATTTCACAAACCAAATAGTCCTACAACACAGACAAGTTGAAAAAAACAAATGCCACGTGTTACTAGCAGCAAAGTAGCAGCCTTTGCTATATCCTTCAGCAAAGAACAGTTTATCTCAAGTATCTCCCTGCAACAATATCAGCTTCTAAACAAAAGTGTTCTACAAAAAATGTTCTGCATTTATGGACCAGTGACGTTTCCCTCTTTCTCACCAAAGCACCACAGACTACGTATGACTCCATTTGTGGCTGTTCACTGGTAGCTTGCAGGCAGAGAAAGGATAGGAAATGTTCAGTTGGAGTTCCTATTGATCTTTAGAGTTTCTAGTTATGAAGTTTTTAAATGTTTACCCAAATATTACAAATATTTCTCCTCTGTATTTCTGACTTCTTACTTCCTCCACTTCACCAAAAACTACTACTGCAACAGGGCTGGCAAGATGCCTTTTCACCTCTATATTGCAGCATTCAAACACAAGCAGGTTTCCTCAGGGTCTTTTGTGCTCAAGTGCCACCTCATCCCATGCAAAACAGACGAAATGGCTCCCTGTATTTTCCAGCCTGAGCCAGAGCTCCAAGACTTTCAAAAGAGTTAACACCAAGACTTGTGGAGAGAGGCTGCTGAGATCCAGGATTTTAGTTGTTTTTCCTTAGGACTTTAAATTTCTCTGATAACCAGGGAAAAAGCCCACCATTTGGTTCCATCGCTTTTAATCCCCTTCTTGTCCATGCCAGCACAAATAATCAAACATAATTTGCAGGTGTTATGCTGCTATATTTACTTTTACTCAGACTCTCATTAACAGACATACTATCTAGCCTTACCCATCCTACAGCAGCAATACACAAACTACTGCCAGGAGGCAGGAAAAAAGAACATGCCATGCTTTACAACAACGTATCTTTGCCATGCTAGTGGCTTTGTCCCTTCCCATCAAGTTTTTGTTAAAAGGCTATGAACAAACAAAATCTTCAAGGTTACTTTTTTATAAATTCAAGATTATGGTAGCTCTTAAGACTTATTTACCCAGAAGAGACAGGCACAAAGACCATGAGAAAATGTTCCCAAGCCATTTCCTGGAAGATACCACATCTTCATCTCATTTCTCTGCCTCCATTTCTAATGCCAGAAGCAGCACAATTGCAAGGAGAGTCTTCTGCAACACCTTTCTTTCAGGGTCTGGCCTATAAACTGCAGGCAAAGCACATTCCCCAAAAACATTCTTTTAATGCAAAAAAAAAAAAGTCTATTTCATTTCAAAATATGAACTTGTTCAGTCATTAAAAACAAGTTACCAAATTGGAGAGAACAAAGGCTTTCCCTAGGGACTCCCTGGAAGTTCCTTCTACACATGTGACACCGATAATCTGTCTCAGGTCTCTGAAAAATCCACTAAGAACATGCAGATTTTAAGATACCTTTGAGAAGCATGAATTTTATTGGCTACCAATGACTAATCTCTCAGCCTAGAGAAAAGAAGGCTCAGGGGAGACCTTATCATCATGTTCCAGTATTTAAAGGGTGGCTACAAAGAAGATGGAGACTCCCTTTTTACAAGGAATTACATGGAAAATATGAGTGGTAATGGGCACAAGTTACTCCTGGGGAGATTCTGGTTGTACACAAGAGGAAACTTTCTCACAATGAGAACAGTCAGCCATTGGAATAACCTTTCCAAGGAAGTGGTGGATTTCCCAATACTGGCGACTTTTAAGATCTGGCTCAACAGGGGGCTAGGACATCTTGTCTAGGTCATGCTTACTTAGAAAGGTTGGACTAGATGATCCCTGAGGATCCTTCCAAGCTGGTATTCTACGATCCTATAACTCATTCTTTCATCATATTTAGGGTCTGAAAGTATAGTTTGCAATTATAGCGACCTTATGCAATATATGTCAGAGAAACCAGTTAAACTGAAACCATTACGGGTAAATCATCAGAAGTCAGATGTGCAGCAAAATACCGGAGGTACCAATATGAACAGTTCTCACTTTCTTACACATTTCCTGTATTCATCTATTTCCGTGCATATTCCTTTCCACTACTGCCAGGAGGCAGGAAGAAAGAACATGCCAAAAATCCATTTATGGGCCCCCCATGTTTCAGAGTGTAAATGTTCTAGCAGTTGCAGGTATAATTATAGCTGACAGCAGAGAAAGTTACTATACAAATAAGTCTAGAGATCTCCGCTTTAGAATAAAAGCTTTACACTTGTCATCCAAACTGCTGTAGTTAGCTAACTAAAAAAGAAGAGTTTCCTTGATTAGCCTTTGAACATGTTTTTGGGTTCGGATGCAAAAACATATGATCTCCAGCCTCCTTAGAAGCTCACAGCCTCTTCATTATATACTGGGTGTCTAGAGGCTGCTGTAAAGGTGACTTTCAACAGTTTTTTCCCCTTTTTCCTGGTGGTTAGTAGAAGAACTGGGGAATAGGATATTCTCCAGCTTCTCCTTGAGAACTTACAGATTCCACATTACCTGAGGAACTTCCCACACAGCATAAGTATGGGCAGGAAAAAGCTTCAAATTTTGGACAGTGATGTCATTTTCAACATTTAAGTTAACTAGGTGACTACTAGACGACATTGCTTCATCTGATCTTCTATTTACTCAGTGTGATTTGGCTGGTCAAACAATCATCATAGCAAAAGCAAGTCTATAGCAGCTACAAGAAAGCAACGGAATGAAGTGCCATTCCCCATGCAAAAGACTGAATTGTTAAATGCTGGCATAGAGATCACTCTGGAAAATATTACTAAGAGGAGAAGCTGGTCCCTACTCACCTCTTCTGGGCACTCACCTGACATTTCACTACTGTCACTAATACTTCAGAAACCCAACAGGTATCTCTGCCACATCAAGGTTAATGCCATGCTAGACAAAGCCACTCCTTTCACTAATACATTTTTGTTACTGCGAAGTCTGCTGATTTGGAGAAGGCCTTGATAAACCGTTCCACTACCTGAAAAGCATACAGAAACTTGAAGCCAACATTTAGTTCTGCCTAATATTTCAAATTCCAGCAGGTTTATCTGTACAAAACAGACTGTGCAGGATTGAACATCCCTTGCAGACTTCTCTCCATTCGTATCTCCTGTCAAACATAATCATACCACATGTTCCTACATAAATAATAAATGAGAAAAAGAAAACAAAGCAATTTTGGGGTGCATCTTTCATAGTTAACAGCAACAGATACACCTTCAGAGCAAAAGAGACTACATTCAGATCATTTAGTATGGGAGCCCCATTAGCAGATGTAAAGAGCTCATCCCATCAATTCACACCCTTGAAAGCACTCTGGGTTATTTAATCATTTTGTGAGACAAAGTATTTATTAGAGAATGACAAAACTTCAACAATTTTTGTTACAAAGCCCTTTTATTTCCCATTTATTAGAAATGCGTTTTGAAATTCTTATTCACAAAGTCAGAACTAGAATCATAATATTAAATGTCTTATGATAACAGTAGGGTTACTAAGAAGAGAGACAACAAAGGGGAGTAAACAGAAATTCACATGACCAAACTGCCCATCCACACCTGCAGCACCAAGCTGGTTTGTCACCTAAAAATAATTGGCTTCCAAGAAGCTAATAGCTCACCAGAGCTGTGAAACTGAACTTCAGAAAAATGAAAGATTATGAGGTACGAGAGAGCAGCATCCATTCTCCCAGCAGACCTTTGTGAAATAATACCTAAATGACCATAAAAGTACCTCTATTTTACCTCTCAATTTCAAGATGATTTTCACTGCCTAAGAGAACAAAATGAGACAGTGTGCAATTTTGTGTAGCAGAACGGCTTCGACATTTTGACACAAGTGCACGGCTGGAATAGAGAGGCTGCCAAGTTGCAACTGCAATTGCACACTGCTTCTTTTAACAAGTTAGATTTCCACATAAAAAATAAATGTTTTAACATATTCCACTGTAGTGATTTTGATCAGTAATTCAGAAAATAGCTGCAAAGGGCAGCACATAAATGTCCTCTAAACCAGAAATAACATAAACTATTCCAAACAAATGTACATTTGAGCAAAGGTAGCTCACTGTTTAAACGAGGTTATGTTTTATGTTTGACAGAACTACCATAAAATTAACTTTTCTTTCAGAAACGAAAACACGACAATACTGCAAAGGAGCTGATCTGGGTGTTTGGCTTTTACTCAGTTTCTTCTTCCAGGTTTATTAATAAATTAATAAAAGCCAGGAACAGAAACAGATAAGTCACCTTCAACAACAACAAAAAACCCAAAACAGTAACTATTCTACCTTTAAAAACAAAAACAAAACCAAAAGAAAAACCAGAAACAGGGTAAATGAAGACTACCATTCCTGTTATATGACCCAAATGAAAGCAGCAGAACAGCTGCCAG